ATCCTTTGATGCCTCTGAGAGTGGGATGGGGATGAGGAGATACTGGGTGGTGGGGTGGGGGAGTAGTTAGTGTTTTCTCATAGCCACAAAGGTAGTAATTGTCATGAAGGATCTGAATTCAGGTCATCTGGCTTTAGAATCAGTGTTTTTCTTCACTGTACCACATTACTCATCCAGGTTTTCCCTCAATAGAATGTAAACTCCTTGAGGGCAGGAACTGTCTTTGTATAACCAGAACTTGGCAGCTAATGGATAGAGTGCTGGTCCTGATTTCAGGAAGATTCCTTTTCCTGAGTTCAACTCTGGCCTCGGATATTTACTAACTGTGTAATCCTGGGCAAGTGATTTAACTCTGTTTGCCTCAGTTTCCTCATCTGTAAAATGAACTGGAGAAGGAAATGTCAAACCACTCCAGTCTCTTCATTAAGAAAACCCTAAATGGGTTTATGAAGAGTCAGACAGGATTGAAATGAGTGAACAACAGCCCAGAACCTAGAACAATGTCTAGCTATAATAGATGTTACACAAAACTATTAATTGATTGATTGACTGAAATTTCATTTGATGTTTTTCCTTAGGGAGCCCAAGGAGATATTTTCACATGCCAGCATTTGTATTAAAGGTAGAAGGTAATTTATTTAGACTAGCAAATGATTATCCTTTATAATAGTACTATAAACAAAGCATTTTTTATTCTTATTGCCTTTATTTTAATTCAAAGCAAAGGTTTGCCAAGACCAAACCTAGAAATTGGGTGGGCTGAATGTTTCACTCTTAATTTGATTTGTATGGTTTATACAGACCTACCTACATTTGGTCAACTCTCCAACATCCTAAGGAGGCAGATAGAACACATTTTATGTGGAGAAATAGGACCCCAAGGTGTTAAGAGATTTTTCAAGGGTCACCTAATGACCTAATAATTGAATCAGCACTCCAAACCTAAACTCAGAACCCTTTCATCAGTGTGCTTTCCAACAATATCTGTTAATATTTATTGGTTATATTCACCGTTGAAGTACTTTACAAATATTATCTCATTGGATCCCCATAACAACACTGTAAGAAAGATGCTATTATTATCACAATTTTACAGTTGAGAAAACTGAGCTAGAAAGAGGTTAAATAACTTGCCCATGTATACACAGCTAGTAAGTGTCTGAGGCTGAACGATGCTGATACACATTGGTAGAAAAAGTTGCTATCTGTGAACTAATGACACTTATGAAATCACAGATTCGTTTTAAAGAAGTAAAAAGAAGTCAGATAACGATAAGAAGGATCAACCTTGCTTTTTCTCTATATTTGTTAGGAAAACTTCTGGTGTTTTTCTTTTGCAAATAATGCTAACTTTTGGTTTTTAACATGCAATTTTCATCATATTAAATGGCCTTTTTCTATCAATGGATTTTCCTGCACCTATTGATATAAATGTGGTTTTGTTTGTTTCTGTCTTAATTTGATTAATCATTTTAATAGTTTTCTTAATATTGAATAATCCTTGCCTCTCCAGTATAAATCTATCTTGGTCATATTGAATAATCTTTTGCATATATTGCCATAGTCTTTTTGCTAGAATTTCATTTACAATTTTGGCATCAATAGCTATTTGTGGCCTCATTTATAGTTTTTTCTCACATTATTACTCACTGGTTTAGTCATTAGGATCACATCCATCTTTGTAAAAGGGGTTTGTTCAGGTGTTCTCTTTCTCAATTTTTGAGAATAATTTGACATTTAAATTATTTGATAAGATTCAGTTGTAAACCTGTCTGGAACAGAAATTTTCTTTAGTAATTCCTTTATGACTTGTTCAATTTCATTTTCTGAAATGGGGTTATTTATAATATTTTAATTTGAGTATTTTATATTTTTGTAACACCAGTACAGGGTTTCTTAACTTGGGTTTCAGGAACTTTAAAAAAAGTTTCTGATAACTGTATTTCAACAAATTGGTTTCTTTAGTAATCCCATACATTAAATCCATACAATATTATGCATTTAAAAATAATATTCTCAGGAGAGGGTCCATAGGCTTCATTGAACTGCCAAAGGAATCCATGACACAAAAAAAGGTTGTGAACCTCTACAATAAAGATAATTTTTTTGTTCTAAGATTGAAGATGGCAGCAAATCAAAGCTAAGACACTAATACAATCACTACCCTTATCTTAGAATGAAAGTAAAAGGTGTGTGGGAAGCAAGGAGGACTATTGATAGGTATGTAAAGGTAATTGCTACCATGACCTTTCCCAATTACAATGGGATATGCCCTTTGAGCTTCTTACTTCTGTGTCTTATTTCTGGACAACAATCCAGACTCTTCTTGAAGACCTCTTTTGATAATGCAGTCCTTCACATCAAGATTTTTACCCTTAAGTTTTTGTATTTTCTAGCCCTAGAACACTTTGAGATTTGAAACATGTTGGAAACAATAAATACTTACCTGGGACATTTTAGGGCATGGGAGAAGCCTGGGATAAGCTATGTTTTGGGAAATGCTAAAGCAAAATGGAAGAATTTAATTCTATTTTTATTAACATTAAAAAGTGGCCACAAATGAGTACAGAATGTTCCCAAAATCTTAGTGCGCTTTGAAACTTTAGTGGCCTAAAACTTCACTAAGACATTTAGGAGACCCCAAATTTTTAATGTATATATTATTTCATATTTTAAATGTTTGATGCTCACATATTGGTAGTGACAAAGGCAGAGGCAGAGAAAGACAGAATGACAGGGACAGAGAGAAACAAAGACTAAAACAGAGACACATAAACAGAAAATGAGAGAGAAACAGACAAGGAGAAACTTTAATACTTAAGGCAGGGTTTCTCTGGTGAGACATCTGTTGAGGATAAAAACCATAGCATAAAAGTGAGCATTTATTTATTGGTAATTAATTAAATCTTAGTGCCTTTCCTCCTTATATCTAGGAAGGATGCTGCTGTATTCTCTCCAGAAGCTAAAGGGTTACACAATGATTCTTCCCTGGCAACGTTTTGCCTCTTGTTAATAAAACACCTGGAGCCTCTTTACTTGGCCTCACTCTCAGATTTGAAATAGCATATTTTATACTCTTTTAAAACCAAATTTGATCCTTCATAAGAACACAGCAACAAATTTTAAAACCAAATTTGATCCTCCATAGCAACAATTACACAATTCTGGGGTATTTATATATGTTACTCCCCTCCTTATACTCTACGTTCAGGCCAGACTGGCTTTCTTGACATCCTTCACACATGAGATTCCATTCCAATCTTTGGGCCATTGTACTGGTTGCTCCCCATGGTTGGAATGGAATCCACCTTCATCGCCAATTTACAGAATTATTAATTTCTTCCAAAAATTACCTTGTATACATTTGGCGTATACTTTGCAACTGAAACCTCGTTTCTACGATTTTTTTCTCACTCATTAGAATGTGAAATCCTTGAAAGCATTGTCTCTATTTGGATACCTAGCACCTAGCATAGTGATGTGCACATAGTAAACATTTAATTAATGCTTTTCATTCGTTCATTAATTTATGTGTCTTATAATTGAACATGTGCTTATGGAGGGTAGATTCTGTTTCCTTTTTCATTTTTATAATTCTCAGTGTCTAGAATAGTGCCTGCTGTACATAGTACAGCACTTAATAAATGCTTGTTGATCTGATGACTGATCTGAATAGCAAATTTGAAGGGATATAACACTTGATAAGGACCGGAGGGAACAGGATTTTTTATCATGTCAAAATCTAGTTCATTGGGTAATATGGGACAAATTCTTTTCCCTTACTTTGTCTTCACTACAAATGAGAGGGGACGATGGTACTTTTGTAAAATGCAAAAACATCAGAAGCTAGAGAGTCACGTTTCATTTTGATATATGAGGAAAAATTTATTAGCAGTTAATGTTTTCCCAAAGTGGAAAGGGCTACCTTGGAAGGTAGTGAGTTACTCTATCAAAAGAGGTCTTCAAGAAGAGTCTGGATTCTTGTCCAGAAATAAGATGCCCTCTGAAGTCCCTTGTAGCTCCAAGATTTTACTATCCTGCAATCCATATGAAAAGTGACAAAAAAATAGTTACTAATCCAGGTGATCTGTGTACATGCAGTTAATGTGTTTCTGAATATCTGGAAGGTTTAATGACTTTTTATCTAAACTTTTTGTGTCATGCAGATACTATTAAGCCACCTTCTGTTTTTCTTTCTAGTCCAGTGGTCTACTCTATGATTCTGCTACATCCTCAAATTTTCAGGTCTTTCTGGGTACTATACAAAGTTCTCCTCCCTCCCTCTCTCCCTTCCTTTCTCTTTCCTTCCCTTCTTCCCTCCCTCGCTTCCTTCTTGTCTCCTCTTCCATTTCTCTCTCCCTCCTTTCCTTCTTCCCTCTTTACCTCCCTTCCTTCCCTTCTATGTCCTTCCCTGTTCTTCTCTTTCAAATGGGTTTTTAAAAAATTTTTTTCCCTCAACAAAACACTGTTAATTTCAGGATCCAGTAATCTCAATTCTTTAGAGGACTAAATTTTTGTATACAATATCATAAATGTTCACCCCATCATTATTTGAAACTTGCAAGATTTGAAGGAAAAAATAAGTAACTTGGAGCTAAAATCCACACAGATTTGGGATTTCAGGAACGCTAACATAAGTATTCCTTTCACTAAAAGAAATTATTTTAAAGCCTTTTAAAACATGTAGTCACAGAATTCTTTTTCAAACACTTTAATTATTGATTTACCCATTTTCATAGCCATCTTTAGCTTGCATCTTAACATGACAGTTTCATTGCTGCATGTCTGACCCCTATAATTTGGCTTATAGAGGGCAGACCAAGAGGGAATAAGCTCAAACACTAGCAGGAGAGAATAGACAAGAGGAACAATTTCCTGAGACAATAAGGCTGAACTGTGTTACTGAGGAATTAAATAAAAATCTCTTTCCCTGGAGTTCCAGAAGGAAGAGAATACACATCTTGTCAGAGGGTCTAACATTATGTTTTTTTGACAATTAGGTGGCAAGCTGATGTTTACTGGCCCAGGACCCATTGAGCTCCATGCTCACTGCATCCTTGTATCACATGGTGGTGAGCTCCGGATAGGATCCCAGGATAAACCTTACCATGGCAAAGCTCTGATCCACCTCCATGGGAGTTCTCCTTCTACCATCTTCTTTCCATATGGAGCCAAATTTCTCGCTGTGAGGAATGGAACGCTGTCCCTGCATGGTGAGTCAGGCTGGCGATCAGCCGAATGAGCGTGCCAGAGAGTTTACTTTTGGTCTAGACTGTGATTTTTCTGTGTTCATGTTCCCTTCCCAGAAGAAGAACTCACCCCACTAAAGCTAATTGGCAACTACTCAGAAACTTTGTTTTTGAGTTCTCTAGAGGCACTGAGAGGTTAATTGACATCACATACCTGCCCGGTGTCTAGCACAAGCAGGACGTAAATCACACAGTGTCCCAAATGAGCCATCATTTGTGCTGGAGATATGTCTGTTAAACTTGGATGTACTGGGAAATATTATAAGTGAATTCTCTGCTTGCTAAATGATGTGGAAGAAAGGACAGTCTGGTTTCAGCATGGGGCTCTTCCTTTAAACCAGATAATGTCTCTGTGTTGTCATTATTACTTACATCTATCTGTGTGCCTCAGGCAACTCCCTAGGACTTATCTACTATCTGTGATCTGTGATGGTGGAGGGAGTTTCCCCCATACTGATGAAATCATAGAACCTTTGCTATCATGATTATTTAATACTTATTGATTCTTTCCTACTTTGGCAGCCCAGCATCAAACGGAACATAGAGAGGCTTCTGTTTTAATCTCTACCACCCCTCCCAAAGTGCTGAGAAGGTTATTTCCAGAGATCAAAGAAAGGACTTAGGATCAATCAATCAACAAACATTTATTGAGCACCCACTAGATTCTTGGCACTGGGGACACAAATACAACCATGAGGAGCCTACATACAATTGTCTGTACCCTACAGTACCTCAGTCTAGCCTTTGATCAACAAATGCCATCTATCCCCAATTTTCTTAAACAGGAGCTTTTCCTTTAGTTTATTAAAAAAAAAAGATTGTCAATTTTTGAGTCGGTAGAAGTTGCAAAGAGGTAAAATTTAGGCTTCGTGTAAGATAAGCCTTCCAAACAATTAGAACCAGATTAGAAAAAAATTAGCCAAAACTTTAAGGAGGGTGGAGAAATTGAGGCTTTGTTTAGGGTGCCAGACATCAGGGACTGTGCTTTTCCATGACTCGTATAACTCAGGCAGTCTTGTGCTGTGCATAGTATGGCTACCATCTCAATCACATTCCATTCCTTTCCTGGTTGTAGTGGCCTATGCCTCCAAGGGAATGCTGCCCTGCTTTCTCCTATTGCCTTCTACCCACTAGCTTCTTCCTTACCCGCCCCCGCCCCCTTCAGCCTACTCGTTGGGATTGGAGAGTCCAGGGTTGTTCCATAGGAATTGGACTTTTGGGGAGAGGGATGTTCCTCCCTGTCCTCATTGACCTCAAGTGACCCAACTCCACCCTACTCCCTCCCCAGCAGCAGCTTCAGGATGTCCCAGGGTCTGCATCTCTGCTCCCACTGGGCCTTGTTCCCTGACTTCTCTCCCCACTTTTTCCCTCACCCTTGGCCCAGGTACTAGAATTTCTAGGAAGAGACCAGGGTGGTGCTATTAGCTTATCTTTCTATAATGCTTTACATACAGTATGTTCTTTGATCCTATCTTTTAGGTGGGTAGTTCAAGAATCTTTCATCTCACTTTGCAAATGAAGAAATTGAGGCTTATAAAGGTTAAGTGACTTGTCCAAATCCCACACATCTGGGAGCTACTGGGTTTTGAGGATGGGTACAATAAATCTCAGAGAGCTGCCTCTGCATACCTCTCCCCCACCCCCAAAAGTCTATTCTGGATCCTTGAATCCCAAGCTAGTTCTTAAACTCAAATTTCCTGACTCCCAAGTCTTATGTTCTTGTCAGTACAACACCATTTCTCTTGTGATGTTAAATACATTTATATAGTGCCTGGAGACCAACATATGAGAAGGGATAATGAAGTGAATGCTTGGTATAAAAGTCTGACAGTTTATATATAGATCATTAGCAATAGTATTCACTTTAGTACTTTAAAATGTCTATCTTTGGCTCAGATTCCTTAAGAACCAAGCCAATATCTCAGAAATGTTCAGATTCCTTGAGTCTGGCCAATATGGTGGATCTTTAATAAACCTTGTCTTTGGCCGAAAAAAAAAAGTCTATCTTTAAGCTTTTGTGTTAGCTTTCTTGTTAGCCATAGGTCAGATCATCCAAAACAAAAGCTTTCTGAGTGGACAGATGATTGGTGATCACATTGTGTGACCACCGTTTTCACTCACCCAATTCTCTTTTCTTTTTGTTCTTATCACCTAGCTTTTCCCGTGGTCTTGAAGTCTAGTAACATTGAAGGATACTCCTTAATTATTTTGAGAACTTGGGATCAGCAAACCACTTGGGTAAACAGAGCTTATAGGCTTCCTGATGTCCTTCTGTCTTTTCAAATTGGGATGAGAAAGAGGAGAAGGCATGAGATCAAAGTATCAAAAGGGATCCCCTTCAATAAGGTCTTCTATACCTCTCCATCATGCTTCTTCCATTCTTGTACATGTGGGAAGCTTTCCTTGCCTTTATCTAGAAGTCTAAAGATAGGTGATCTAAGTACATTAAAAGCTCCTTGAGGGAAGAGACCTTATCTTAAATTAGGAATCTCCCATAGCAAGTAATACAAATGCCTTGCATATAATTAGTATCCAATCAATACTTGCTGATTGATTATTGAAACTGGCATTAGTGGTTGCATTGTTACAGTACCAACTTGATGGCATCAAAATGCACTGAGTAAGTTACTAGCTATGAAAACCTCAGTAAAAATGAACAGTTTCTTGCAATTCTCTTCTCTCTCTGGTTGCCTTGGATCATTTCTCACCCAGACATTTTGGTACAATCCAGTGAACCACCTGGTACAACCTAGAGGACCTTAATTAGGCCACCAATGTCTCCATATTTGATGACCACTGTGCTAGGGAGTGCTACCAGTATAATTTTTACTGGAATTTAAAATTCAAATGAAAAATATGAATAGCTCATTTATAGTGTTCTACAGTTTAGAAAGTGCTTTTTGTATAGTAACTCTTTGGGACAGGTAAAACAAATATCACCTCCATTTTCTAGATGAGGAAATTGAATCTGGGAGAAGTTAGGTGTCTTGCTTACAGTTAGCAGGTTAGGAAATTGCAGATTTGGGACTCCAATTTCAGTCTTCTGTCTTTGAGTTCATTGATCTCCCTATGCTACCCTCTATTTTAGTTAATAGGGATAGAGAGTGGATCTGTGATTCCTTTGCTACTGAGAACTTGTAGATCAAGGGAACATCTACCAATCTACCAATTCACTTTCTACACCATTTATTGTATTAGAGAGTTGCCTAAAGGACTGAGAGGTTAAATAATTTATCCAATGACACACAGCCAGAATGTTTCAGAAGCAGGACTTGAGTACAGGTCTTCCTGGCTTCAAGAGTCATTCTCTAGACACTAACCCATACAAGCCCCCTTCCCCCCCCTTTTTTTTTTATAAATAACATAAAGATTAAGGATAGTTTTTGAAATTTATTTTTAATGCCTTTTCATTGATATCTTTTGTTTTTGTCACCTTAATCTCCATATATATGCTTTCCCCTCCCTCCCCCCTACAACCATCTCTTAAAACAGAGAAAGGAAAAGAAGAGGAAAATAAAACGAGTACAGCAAAACTAACAAAAACATCGTTAGAGTCTGACAACATATGAGTTGTACCACACCTAGTGGTCCCCAAATTTTTGCTTGCAGGTCTGTGCTTCCAATGTACACTGTTCTTTATGTGCTTAAAACACATTGGAAAGGAAAGATCAACTGATATGGCTTACAATCAATAGCAGGCAATAAAAGTAAGCCATCCCCTCCCCCTAAATACACATCCAGATTTGTGAAATTAAAAATAGATATTGCTACTTGACAACCACGGTGGTGGTTCTGGCAGCTACAAGCACAAAGGCCTACTCATATTTTCCTTCCTAGCTCCTTTTGTGCTTTCCTGGGGCCATATTGAAGCTACAGACTACATAACAAATTGCCCAGGGCCCCATATGGGAAGAACTGGGAGCTCAATGACACAAAAGAGCAGCAATCTAGAAAACAGATGAATGCAAGTATTTTCTTGCCTAATATACAGACTTTCACCAGTGCTGTTTATTTGGATGGTCTGTGATTGAGTAAGGAGCTTAGGTGTTCTGTGAGATACTTTGTTTTATTGAATAATTAAAGAATCAGAAAGTATAGCAGCTGAGTGATCCAATCTTTATTACTGCAAGAGCAGACCACCATTTGAGCTCAAGTCAAGTCAACAAGCCTTTATTAAGGTCCTATTAATGACCCTGGGCAAGTCACTTAACCCCTGTTTGTCTTAATCCACTGGAGAAGGCAATGGCAAACCACTCCAGTATCCTTGCCAAGAAAACCCAATGGCAGTACTGACATGCTATGGTCCATGGGATCATGAAAAGTCAAGTTGGACAAGACTGAATGACTGAGAGGCAGCTAGGTGGGCAAGTGGATATAGCACCAGCCATGGAGTTAGGAGGACCTGAGTTCAAATCTGGACACTTGACACTAGCTGTATGACCCTGGACAAGTCACTTAACCTCAATTGCCTCACCAAAAAAAAAAGAATGACTGAACAGCAGCTATGTGTTGTGGGCAAGTGGATATAGCACCAGCCATGGAGTTAGGAGGACCTGAGTTCAAATCTGGACACTTGACACTAGCTGTATGACCCTGGACAAGTCACTTAACCTCAATTGCCTCACCAAAAAAAAAAGAATGACTGAACAGCAGCTATGTGTCAGGCATAGTGCTAGATGTTGGAAATACAAAGAAAGGCAAGAAGCCATCTCTGCCCTCAAGGAGTTCATGGTCTAATGGGGGAAGGAAAACGCTAGCTATGTACAAACAGGATAAATTGCAGGTAATCAACAGAGAGAAAGCACTGCAATTAAGGGGATCAGGAAAGGCTTCCTGAGGAAGATGGGATTTTAGCTGACATCTGAAGGAAGCCAGGGAGTTTAGAAGGAAGAGATGGGGATTCAGAGAGTTCCAGGCAGGGGGAAACAGCCAGTGAAAATGCCTAGAGCGAAAATGCCTAGAGC